CCGAGAGATCATCAAGTCCAGCCCCTTGCCAAAGAGGCATGGGGGGATTTGAACTCCCCACCTCTGGTTCAAGACCCAAGCCGCTGAGCTAACTATCAAAAGGTTAAGAAATTTATTTCTGTGTCATCTGCCATGCATCAAAGTCCATTTCCCTGGACATATTTTCTTCTTCATGAAGTCCTCCGGCTCCAGCGGTGACTGTTCTAAAACACGAACTTTGCGTTGCATCCAAGCAGTTCACTTAAGACTTTTCAAGCGAATAAGAAATTCTTTTGCCGGCTGGAATTCTTTCCACTTTTATTTGACTTGGATTGAGTGGCCATAACATTCTGTACTTTTCGTTTCTCATTGTGCAAAGGCATGTAGCTTTCTCCCTTTTATGATTTCGCTGGCCATATTCCTGATCCACGAAATTCTTAGCGCCCGGCTATAAATCGACATTTCATACACGTCTTTACACTCTTCCATCTCAAAGGTTCTTTTCTAGCCCACATCTAGCCTAGCTGTATTGGTGACTAGCTGGGTGGACAGCTCAGTAGTTAAGGCAGAGGTTGGGAGTTCAAATCCCCCCACTGTGCCTTCCTGGGAGAAGAGCCAGCCTGGGTGGCCTTGGGCAAGCTGCAGTCCCAGGGCTCCCCCTAGAGGAAGGGAAGGGTAAAGCGCTGCTGAGGATTCTCTACCTAGAAAATTCTGAAAACGGATCACAAGGATGAGAATGATCCTTATATCTGCAGTTATGATGCAGTTTTATTTGCATCTTTCAGACTGCTTGTATTGCATAGCAAAAAATATATATATAGTTGCAACCACTTGCTTTTATATCTTTCCTAACGCAACTCAGTCCCTAAAATGAGGAAGGAATCAAGTCAAAGTTTAGAACACCCATTCTGCCTTCCTGATTCCTTGGTTCTAACACCTGGGGTTAACAGCAGCCTCCAGTGCGTCCCCAGCCCTCATCTCCAACCACCAAAGCCCATCATCCTTCAAAGAGGAGATCTGGCCAGGGAGAGCATAATGTGATGCTTACAGGCGATTTCTCTCAAGGAAGCCCATTGTTGGGAGGATAACCACACACCTTCTGCTTCGGGGAGCTCTGCTTCGAACGGCAAAGCTGCCCGTTTCGTCCATTTCCCCTAAAAAATGGATTAGATCCAATTTAGCCTGCCTTTACTACAATGAAGCAACAGGCTGGACGTCGACCAGCAATGCGCCCGTTAATTCCGGTGGCTCATCACTGCAACTCAAGCGGCTATCGGCTCTTTTACTGCTTGCCGAAACCCCTTTGCCTCTACGACATCCTCACTGTAAGGTCTCTTCTTGCCACGCAAGGATTGGCCAAGAACAAGAATCCTGTGGGGCTTTTCAACTTCTGGGGATTTAAAAGTGAGCAGGGAGAATGTAAGTAGGTGAAGAAACTCCAAGAAGGCACCTAACCTTATGCACGTGTGAAGGTTTTCTACTTCTAGAATCCAGTGAAACCCAAAATTGGGAGATTCAGGATGGGTTCCGGGAAGCGTACAGATTTTGCCACCCACGAAAGATAGCAATGGGTGTCTTTTAAAAAAACGGATGGGTAGGAAAAACATCACGGAGGTAAGGCTGACTAGCCACGAAAGGTGACACCGCCCTAGCTAGCCCGGGACAACTTGTTTGCACATCTACAATTTTATTTCCTGCAGGGCACTTTCATTGAAAGAAACAAGATGCGAGAGGATTTGCCCCAATTTTCCAGTTCCTTCCTTTTGGAGAGAAAGAAAAGGCACAGGAGCCGTAGAGACCCAATTAGATTCCTCTCCGTTCATCCAGCCTATGTTTCAGGCAACCACCCACCACCGCAGGGTGGCATTTAACCAGGACATTTGGGGAGACATACAGAGGAGAAGAGAGAAATCCATGTCGTTACCAGTGACTTTACCACGTGGGCTGAGACCATGAGCATCCCCTCCCCCCAAAATATAGATTTTCACAGGGAGATACTCCGAACATCTCTCCCACAACCTACAACACACACACTAGTAACCCACCGCCCACCGTGGACAGAAGAGAAGAGCTATGTAGATAAGCTTGAGAGTCCCTCCTTTTGCAGAGGCTGGTTATGTTTTTATTGGGGTGTTTTTTTTTTCACTTCCTTTTCTCGTCCTCTCGTTTGTGTTTTTATTTTCGTTCGTGGAAAAACAGAACAAAACAAAAGCGGACAAACAAAAAAACCTTCCACCCACGGCCTGGCCCAGCAGGGTCCCTGGACGTTCCTTAAATAAAAGGGAGGGAGGGAGAGGGGGGGTGCAAAGGGAGCTGGGGCAGAATCCTGAAACGATCACCAGCTTCTCAGTAATAAAAAGGAAGAGTAAAGAGAACAATCATACACACGTACACATCCACACCCACATACAGAGTATAGCACGTCTGGAGCCACAGCTCAGTACTGGGGGGGGGGGAACGGATGGGCTTCAGTTTGGTCACAGATACACAGAGAAAAGGTAGGGGAGAGAAAGGGGGCAGCTACACGGCCCTGCAAACACCAGTAGAGGACTGGGAGGGAATTGGGGGTGAAATGGGAAGACAGAGATGGCCACAGGTGAGGGGGTCCAGGCTAAGATGGTGTCAGGAGCCTTTCATGAAACCCAGTGGGTGCCCGGATGCCCAAAAATACATTCATCGACTGTGGAATGCAGAAGCTAGGGGAAGAACCCCCCACCCAACCCCAAATTTCCTCCTCCTGCCCAGTTCAAACTTGGGGAAGAGTTTTAAGAGTGAATCGGTGGGACCCAGCAGTGCTCGCGAAGGAGCCGGTGGGGTGTGTGTGTGCGCACAGTATACGTTTCTCATCTCGTTGCAAGCTCCCACCCGTGTCCTTTCGGAGAAATACAGCGGGGTGGACTGGAGGGTGGAAAGACACCGGGGAAGATTGGGGGCCCTGAGAGGAAAACTGGCATTGTGGGGAGCAGAGGGAGAAGGACCTGTCGTGGTAGGAAAGAAAGCAAATGGGATGAGAAATTGCGGGATGATCCCAATGGGAAACGGTGAGGCCTCATCTCCGGCGACAAGGAAGCTGACATCGCATGCAGGGGTGGGGGAGGAAAGAAGCCACGCTGCTGCGCCTTCTCCCGAAAAAGAGCTGGGACAGGTGGAGGAAGGAGAGAGACACACACAGAGAGAAAAGAGACGCCCCAGCCCTCAGCAAAAAAAGCAATCTGCCGGAGCAACTCCGATTAAACTGGGTGGGATGCACAAGATAGAGGGACTCGGGAACTGTCCAAAGCGGGGTCTGAAAGGGGCGTGCGTGGGGAAACCGAGCGAGAAAAATACAAAAGCTCCATTCACCCTTTTTTGAGGGGGGGGGAGAATCACAGCTGGGGTTTGGGGCAAAAAAAAAAGGCGGCTGGGGAGAGCAAGGAGGTATGGAAGGGAACAGCGAGGGCCGCTCGAACCAAACCGGTGAAAATTCGAAAGTTCGCCCAGACCCTTGCCGGCAGGGAAGTGGGGGGGGAAGCCCCCGGGGGCAGCGGGAGCCGGCATCCCCTCTCCCCTCCCCCCCAGGGGGGCAGGGAAAGCCTTTGACCTGTACAGAGCCCCCTCCCAAATCCCCCCCATCTAATATCCCCTCTAGAGTTAAGTGTGGGGACGAGAAAGAAAAATTAAAAACGAAATAAACAACAGGCCGAGCACGCTCAAGAGCGCTCAGAGCGGCTGAGCTGGAAGGGGGAGGGAGGCCCCGTCCCCCTCCGCCGAGGTATCATCCGGGAAAAGCCACCTTCGGAGTAGAAGAAAAGCAGGACGGCAGCGGCTGGACAGCAGAGAAGGGGCAGGCGTTCCCCCCTCTTTCCCCAGCTGGCTCCCCAAAATCCAGCCTCCCCCCCCACGCCAGGGCCGCCGCCCCTCCCCTGCCAACGCCATCATGTCCCCCTCGTCCTCTCAGCAGCAGCCGCCACCGCCTTGTTTGACTGGGGTGCTGTCGATCTTCAGGTTGGGTCTGTCGCCGCCGGCGGTGGCCCCCGGGCCCATGCGCTTCTTGATCTCGGCGGCCATCGTCATGAAGGACTGCTCGACGTTGGTGGAGTTCTTGGCGCTGGTCTCCAGGAAGGGGATGCCGAGGGAGTCTGCAAACTCCTGCCCCAAGGAGGAAAAGAGGAATTAAAAAAATAAAAAGAGTGGCCAGCGGGGTCGGGGCGTGGGGGGGGAGAGGCCGTTTCAGGTGAGAGAGTTTGCCTTTTCTAATGGGAAAAGCCTGCATTGCTTTTTGTTTTAATCCTGCTGTTTTGGTAAAGAAACATGCTTCGCACCCCGGGCCGCCACCGTTAAGAATCTGGAACCAGACATGGGACAGCATAGATGCCTGTCTACGATGCCAGGGGTGGGCATCCAAGGGAAGTCAGAAGCTGAATCTGTCCCGAAGGGACTCATCCCAGGCTGTAACCCCTCTGGAAATGGCATTAAAAAAAAACTGAGGGGGGGCGCGCACAAAGGGGACCAGACGCACCAATGAGCTGCCTACAGATAATCCACGATGTAGGTCAGCCTTTCCTTCGTTTCAGCCTGCGATTTGCCCCTTCATAAACAAGGCCCCCAGAGAGGTTCTGAAGGTTTCCGAGACCACAGAAACTTTTTTTTTTTGGGGGGGGAGGGGGAACCAAAGACAACCAAGGTAAACCAACACCCCCCCACGCACACACACCAACTTCCTCCGAAAATCATTAAGGGGGGAACTTCACACCTGAGGTATGGAGCAAAGGTATTCTTTCAGATGCTTCCGGACTACAACCCCCATAATCCTTTGACACTGGTAAGCTAGGTGGAGCTGATGGAAGTTGTGAGCCAAAAATCACCCAGACAGATGCATCTGTCCTCATCCAGTTTTTCTTGATATAAGGAACCTAATTTATAAAGGGCAACAGGCCTTGTGTTGTCGCTGCTACGCACAACTCCAAGTAAGACATCCTTTGTTAATTGACAGCAAACCATCTGGAGATCTAGCAGTCAGTTAATCTTCATCTACTTCCTTCCTGCCCCTAGAAAAAGGGGGGAGGCATAAACCACCTGCTTTTGGGGTTGGCGAACCCACTTCTAGTAAAAAACCCACTCTTTTTCTTACCACGCATTTCACTCACTCTGGCACACAACCCAATGCTCAGGAACCAAAAGGCCCCGAGAGATTTCCGTTGGTGCCGTCCACCGAACAAAACCGGGGGAAAGCTGAAGGTGGCAGGAGAGGCTGGGCCCCTTCATAAACATGGGGGGGGGGGGGGGGGAAAGAACAGCATTTTAAAAAAAATCATTTAATTCACATTTTTGCTGGCGTAGCAATGGATTTCCTGCAACCGTTGCATCAGACGGTGGTTTGATTCAGAAAAGCACTACAGAAAGGAAAGCTGTAGGAACACACACACACATCCCAATGAAGCACAGATTCTCCGCTTCTGTTTTGCAGTAAGGAGGTTTTGCTTGTTTAAAAAGAACGTGGAGGAGCTTTCAGAAGTGATGTGTCCTCCCCACCACCACTAGAGTCTAAAGGGGCACAGCCCATCCTCTCACATGGTTCTCGGGCGCAGGCAAACCAGGCGTCACAGAGATCGGCACAGGGTGCAAGAGGCTGTTGCCCTGCCCTCAACAACAACCACACACCTTGGCAGTGGTGTAGTCCACCACCTTCTTGGTCGTCAGGTCGCACTTGTTCCCCACGAGGAGCTTGTTGACGTTCTCGCTGGCGTAGCGTTCAATCTCCTGCAGCCACTGCTTCACGTTGTTGTATGATTCCTGCGCGCCAAAAACATGGGACAGGATAGGGTGAGGCCCTCTGACACGCCCGGGGGCTTTGGTTTTCAAGGAAGGCCAAGTTCCTAGCTGTCATGGGCGGGGTGTGTGTGTGTGTCACAGAATTGCAGCCCGGTGGAGCCAGAAAAGACCCCAAGATCCATCTACAGTAGTCTAATGAATGCTGGACACAGACAGCTGAACGGTTCCTGGGAAATGGCCCACAAGTCTAGACACACACACTTACTTAAAATGGGGATGCTCTGCAAAAACTGAAGCTCTGGCTTCTTTGTCAAGAATATGTTTCCTGGGAAATGGCCCACAAGCCTAGACACACACACACCGGAAATACTTAAAATGGGGATGCTCTGCAAAGACTGAAGCTCTGGCTTCTTTGTCAAGAATAGAGCTTTCTTCGCTTACTTGAGTCAGCTGGCAATAGCAGCTCTCCTACTTTTCCTTACAGCACTACAATATGGGTTGTGTGCATGAACCCTTGTGGGGTGGTGGTGGTGGAATGGCTTCTATGGGCACTGTTTGATCTAAACCCCCCTACACACACACACTATACTCTGCAATTCCTACAAATGCAGTAGAAATAAAAGGCCAAAATGGCTAAGAGGGCACTCACACATGTACACACACACACATCTGCATGGGCTCCAGGCAGCTGCTTCCCAACCCTGGGTCCCCAATGTCCTTGGACTGCAACTCCGAGAAACCCTAGTCAGCTGATCTAGTGGTGAAAAGGCTTCTGGGAGTTTTAGTTCATGAAGATCTGGGGACCCCAGGTTGGGGAAACACTGCTCTAGGATCTGATTTCCATTAGTACAAAATATAAGCTGCTGTTACAGAACACAGAGCCGCTCCTGAAGTGCCACCTCAGCTCCCCCAATGTCCTTGGACTGCAACTCCCAGAAACCCTAGTCAGCTGATCTAGTGGTGAAAAGGCTTCTGGGAGTTTTAGTTCATGAAGATCTGGGGACCCCAGGTTGGGGAAACACTGCTCTAGGATCTGATTTCCATTAGTACAAAATATAAGCTGCTGTTACAGAACACAGAGCCGCTCCTGAAGTGCCACCTCAGCTGAGCAAAAACAATCTGGATGAGGTCTACCGAGCACCAATATTTCATTCTTTCTGGCAGCAGGTTAAATATGCCTCCCTCACCCTCTCTTTTAACTGAACTGCGTGTTTTTAAACATGCATTTCCATCACCTTCCGTTGCCTTCGTTCTTGTTTACTGTTTTAACTTCACCATTGTGGACGTGTGGTGTTATGATTGCACACTTGTCCTGAACTTACAGATCCTCTTCTGCAGAAAAAAGGACGGGGCTGTTCCCTCCTGATGTGCAGGATTTAGATCCCCCTTCGGGAACACGTGCACATAGCTGCTCATGCACACACACACAGGTAGCACACACCCATGCTATGTCAGAAACAAGCCACCGACGCTCTTCTACCTGGTCTGTTACATCGTATACTACAATGATGCCGTGCGCCCCTCGGTAGTAGCTGGAGGTGATCGTTCGGAACCGTTCCTGCCCTGCTGTGTCCCACTGAAGAGAGAAGGAGACAAGGAGAAGACAGTGAAACTCAGCACCAGAAGCATACGTTCCATGTGTAGAACTGTGATACTTGTAAAGTACGACCCCACTATCCGTGGGAGCAGTATCCGTGGATTTGCTTTGAAGAAACTGAACACCCCCCCAAAAAAAATATTTATCTATATGCATTTCCAGGATGCATTTATCAGAACTGCCCCCTAGAAGGAGACAGAGACCATGCAATGTATAAAACTGGAAACGACCATTATTTTTCAGCCCCCCGCAGGGAGAACTCAGAACCTATCCCCCAGAGATATCGTGTTCCTACTGTAAATCTGTGCAGGATGCACAGGAGAATCCATTTCTGCTTCTCTCCTGCCCAAAAGTTAATCGGACAACCCAGCACAGAACTATTAAATCAGGGATTTGTTCCTGTAACCAGCCCTTTTTTTTTTTTAATAAGAGGGGAAGAAGTCCAGCAGTTTTGAAATGAATGGGCGCATTGTGAGCCGGCGGCCTACTTTCTCTGATGCGAAAGCTGGGCTTGTGAGGGTGGCAAATTAAACCACAGAACCCAGAGAGAAAAAGGCTGAAAATGACACCTTGATGGCGGGGGTCATCCGAGGTCAGACAAAGTAAGCCGAACACCTGGCCATGTTAAAATCCTGAAAAACAGCACACCGGCCCCCATTTTGGCCTCCAGCCCAAACCATCCATCTAATGCATTCTGTTTAATCTTAGCAACTTATAAATCAAAGGTTGAAAGACCAGTTTCTTTGTCTGTGTGGAAAATGCCAGACAGGAAGAGCACAGATCCTTCAGACTTGTCTCCGTGCTGCTCCCTACACGGGTCTGTGCATTAGGGAACCTTCCTCGGCAAGTGAATGCACCTCAGCTTACAACCCACTTGTAAGGTAGGCCGGTACAGAACTGTTTTAGAGAGGTGCAAGGATCTGAGGCTGGCCGCAGTGGCTTGTTCAAGCACATTCAGGGCAAAAAAGCAGTAGTAGCAAAGTTTTGAACAGAGGGGAGTTTCTGGGCCCCTGCTTGACCTCTTGATCCTCCTCCTTCTGCACCGAGGGAGAGGACACCGAGGCCTTCTGACACGAGCCGAAAAGGCTCCTGCTCCACACGGCTCGGATCCCACCCCCCACCTTCCAGAGTTGCCTCTCGAGGGCTGCTTTTTTCTGAGGCCAGAAGGAAGCCGGTGGCGCGTACGGGCCTGTCGGCACTCACAATCTGCAGCTTGATGAGGCCTGCTTTTTTCTGAAGCCAGAAGGAAGCAGGTCGCCTGTCGGCACTCACAATCTGCAGCTTGATCGTTTTGCCGTCCAGCTCGATGGTGCGGATTTTGAAGTCCACTCCGATGGTGCTGATGTAGCTTTCCGTGTAGGTGTCATCCTAGCCGGGGGGGAGAAGAAGGGGAGGTGTTAGCATCGGGCTGGAAAAAGCAAGCCAAGAAACTTCTATTCCGATTCACTCTGTGTGTCCGAGCATGTGCAGCTGCTCTCCGTTACATCAAAAACCACAAACACACTCTGAGACACAAGCATGTTTGGTACACATTTTCAGGTCCCTGGGCACAGCTTGCAACAAACAGAGGACATGGGGTCGCTCTGAAACGTCCCAAACAGGAATTTCAGTGGGAGGGGACAGAATCATCTCCGTGTAGAATATGCAGCTGTGAATGTGTGGATCCGACACAACCTTTTTTCCCCTCACCTTGAAATATTATCCCCCCAGGAACAGTAGCAAGCTAAAGGCAAATAGTATCGGTGGGTAGATCTCTGGGTTACTTGCAGCAGCCTGGAGTACAGTATGTCTCTAACTCCTATTTGCCTAATAACCAAAACACCCAGAAACCTTTTTTAAAAATCTTTCCTATTCACAGTTTTGGCAAAGGGCACTGGGTAACCCTGTTCTGAACCGTTGACAAGGGAACATGTGGCAGACCCTCGAAACAATTTCCCAAAATCATCTGCACTAGAACAAACATTACAGAAGTGTGTGAAGGTCCTCTGGGGGAAAAAGGTGGGGAAACTCATTTATCTGTAGCTAATCACTGCAAGTATCTGAAGATACGTAAGGAAAACTCAGCTTTTGTTTACTTACACTGAAAATGGTGGGAGGTGTTGGGTTTTTTGGTGGGGAAGTGATTTTTTTTAAAGGGCTGGAGTTGTGTGTGGGTGGAGGATAAGAGATTCCAAGGGGATTAGTCAAAGGTTTCTGCCCTGTTTCTATGCCCTGCAATCTTCAGAAACCCGTTGCCAAGAGGCTGCCCAGATCAGCTGCTTTCCTAACGACAGAACCAAAGGCCGGTAAGAAAAGCTGCCTGCTTTAGGGCAGGCCTGGATACTCACAGCAAACCGTAGCAACAGGCAGGACTTCCCAACGCCCGAGTCGCCAATCAGAAGCAGCTTGAACAAGTAGTCACTGGAAAGGAGAGACAAGGAGATGAAGTTCACCAGAGACACCAAGAAAGCTCCTTCCTCGGTCACTGCTGGTCCTGCCTCCTTTCCGGACATCGCCCCACACGATATGAGGCACATGGGCCTTCTTAATCAAGACTGAATATGCAGTGAATCCCCCACAGGCACCTTTAAACGTACGCAGCCGAAGATCTCCCTTTCACATACGTTCCGGCTCTCCTATGAGGTCCAGAGTTCAGTAGGACCCCTGTTATCTGATGGGTTCCAAGCCCCCCTGCCGATGCTGAAAAAAGCGGATTATAACAAACACTATTATAATAGCAGATGCTACCCACTGCATGGTCTCTCGCTCCCTCTTGTGGCCAGTTCTAGTAACTTCAGGGGGATTTATTAGGGGGATTTTTAAAAAAATCCTTTCAGACTGTGGATAAGAGAATCAGCGGATACTGATCCTGCAGATAAGGGGGTCCTACTGTATAAAAGAACACGCAAAAAAAGTCTAAAGCACAAAATGAGAAGCAAAGCCATTCCCCGTTGAAAGCCAGAACAGGCCATAACATCCCTTACTTGCACTTTTGAGGTTTAATTCTCTTCTTCACTGCTCGAGTTTACTTCTCTCCACCGAACGCTCAACCAAATCGCTGAACCCCTGTGTATCTGGCAGCTATTTTGCAAAGGTGAAAATGCCATGGAAAATTAAGAAGAGTGCCCTTCACATCCCAGCAATCTTCAGTAGAGACATTTCTTGACACATTTAGGTCAAAGCGTGGAAGGAAATGCTCAGCCCGGATCTTCTCGGCCTGCGACGCCCATCCTTCCCAGCCAGCCTTCCCAAGTGGGGGCAGGATGATGGGAAAGGAGGCCCAGCCGTTAAGTCTCCATTTCAGACAACCCACGATTTCACCCACCCAAGACCGGTGGCTAAAAGTCAGGAGTTCAAAAGAGGGACCACGGTGGGTCTTTGGCAAAGGGTGTTATTTGCGGGGGGGGTGGATGTTTGTGTGTGTTTCGGAGGGGCTTAAAGGCTCCGGATAGCCCTGATGGTCTCCCTCTCCCTGAAAGAGCCGGGCTGGGCACTCAACAACTCCAGCCTCACGCTAAGCGTCAGAAACCCTGAACAAGAAGGGTTGGCTTATCCCAACTGTGTGAGCTTCAGAGGGGTCGGCCGTGCTCCGGAGACCAGTCGATCACCACGCCACACCTCTCCGACTAATCCGCTCAGGCCTTCCCAAAGCAGCAAAGCACCAACCCAGCCCCGTGGCTTCCCAAGGGTCTACGGCTTCAAAGGAGAAAGCCCCAAGGTTAGCAGGTTTCCAAAAGGGAGCCCACCTCAACCGAAAGAGGGGCTCACCCTTCTCAAACACTGCAGTGGAACGCTGCCCACTACGCTTCCTAATCCAAATAAGCCTCATGGACGCAGACCGTAGCTTGCCCCGGCTTGGGACCCACCTCCCATTAAGACTGCCAACTCCGATGATTCAAAGCCTCTACGGCCAACAGCCCGGATAACACGTACTAAGGTTAAAGTCCAGTAAAAACGCAACACATTCAAATTAATCAATGCTGGGAGAGGCAAGGAGCAAACTGGGGATTTTCACACTCTCCTTACCCACCTTCTTTCTACTTTTAACTGTATGCCTCTGTGCTCCCTCTGAAGCTACATTCCTACTAACGACAATTAGTTTTAACCAGCATTTGCAAAACTCTTAATAGACAATCCCATGAGGTATTAAGTTCCCTCTCTCTGGCATGGGTTAATCCAAGTTCTGGGCACCCCATTTTAATGAGGATATCGACAAACTGGAACAAGTTCAGAGGAGGGCTTCCCATGAGGTATTAGGTTCCCTCTCTCTGGCGTGGGTTAATCCTGTGTCCAAGTTCTGGGCACCCCATTTTAACGAGGATAACGACAAACTGGAACAAGTTCAGCGGAGGGCCATCAGGATGATCAGGAAAACTGGAAACCAAGCCTTAAGAATGAAAATCAGGATGACTAGGAAACTGGAAACCAAGCCTTAAGAATGAAAAAAACTGGACATGTTTAGCCTGGAGAAAAGAAGATTGAGGGGAGATAGGAGAGCACTTTTCAAATCCTCGAAAGGGAATCCTACAAAGGAGGGGCAGGATCTGTTCTCAATCTCCCCAGAGTGCAGGATACGTCATCGTGGGCCCAAACGACAGGAAGTCAGATACAGGCTGAAGATCAGGATAAACTTCCTAGCTGTTAGAGCAGTACGACAATGGATGTATGGAAGTGAGAGCTGGACCATAAAGAAGGCTGACCGCCAAAGAATTAATGCTTTTGAATTGTGGCGCTGGAGGAGGCTCTTGAGAGTCCCCTGGACTGCAAGGAGAACAAACCCAACCGTTCTGAAGGAAATCACTTCTGAGTGCTCACTGGAAAGACAGATCCTGAAGCTGAGGCTCCAATCGTTTGGCCATCTCATGAGAAGAGAAAACACCCTGGAAAAGACCCTGATGTTGGGAAAGTGTGAAGGCAAGAGGAGAAAGGAGACGTCCAGATGGTTGGACAGGGTCATCGAAGTGACTAACATGAATTCGACCCAACTCTGGGAGGCAGTGGAAGACAGGAGGGCCTGGCGTGCTCTGGTCCATGGGGTCACGAAGAGTCGGACACGACTAAACAACAACATTGATCAGAGGTTGGACTCGATGGCCTTATCGGCTCCTTCCAACTCCTTGGTTCTGTGATTCTATTTTAAAAAGCGGCTAGGGGAAAAAATCCAGAGGGGGGGGGGGATAAAATGTTTAATTTTTCCAATGAACCACTTCCCCTTTTCTATGAAAACAATTGCTTCAAAAAATGTGTTAGTTGCAAGTAACTGGTGCCAAACTGACTCATTCTGAACGTGACCCTAAGGGATGCCACGAAAATGAAACTGGAGCTATCTCGGTGGCCTCTATCCAAGAACTTTTAAAGCTCTTGGAAGTCGGCGGGTGCCAGACAACCACAACAGAACACGCAGAGTTCACAGGGTGCAGCTCAACAAGTTTCGTTCTAAATTCAAGCCACCCATGTCAGGGAGGTGCAAACGGCTGTGGGGATTTAGAGATAAATCATCTAAGAAAAGCACACAAAGTTGACATTTGTTTGGAGGGGGGAAAAAGATACAAGACACCCCCACCCCCTGCTATACCATCAAAGCCTGGCATGAAGGATGGCGGTAGACATTTCTCTCGTAAAAGATGTTAAGTATATAAGAATGGCTGAATAACTCAGCGGGTTCAGGTCTCTGGCTGGGGAGCCAGTGGTTGGGAGTTCGAATCCACCCGCTGGGCCCCCATGATGATCCATAGGGTCCCTTCCAGCTAAACTCAGCGGGTTCAGGTCTCCGGCTGGGAAGCCAGAGGCTGGGAGTTCGAATCCACCCACAGAGCCCCCTTGATGATCCATAGGGTCCCTTCCAGCTCTTCCCTTCTGTGATGACAATGATCCTAAAATCAGATTGTGCCCCCGTTTCAGACATGAGTAAAAGTTCGGCAACATTTACTGGAACAGTTCAGAATTTTGCAGAAACCGCACGTGGCCGAAGGACAGTTACCGAAGTTCTGTCGGTCAGACCCCAAGACTCCCGTTTTATCATCTTATCATCGGCTCCCCACAAGGCTGAGAAACACTATCCGGTGAAAAGACTCCTAAAACAATTAAGCAGAGCGACCTAACGTCCCAGGACCGCTGCCAGTCTTGTCATTTCCCTGGAATGCCTCAAGGTTCCTGGGGCTGAGATGCCCCCGAGATGCTTATCACTGTCCTCTCTCCTCCGACACCGTCGGGAGGCGGCCACTGGCTTCCCACTGGCATGGGTTCAACAACGCCCCTTATTTGCCCCGCCAGGCTGCTCCGAGTCGCTCCAGCACGAGCCACGCTGGAGAAAAGCAAACCCCCGCCAGCAAGTCAAGATGGAAGGAAGTTTCCTAACTGGAGGGTTTGACTTGGTGCAGGGAGAGGTGACAGGAAGCCGTGGAGTCACGAGACGGTGTGCTGGCACTTTTCCTTATTCGGCCCCGAAGGGAGGGGCGATCCGTGCTCTGCTGCTGAAAGGGAGGAAAGACCGTTGGCAAAGGAAATACGAGCCGGTGGGGCTGAACATGCGTTCCCGTCCCAGCTTAGCCTCAAGGCACAGACCAAGGTGGTCTTCAGAAGGCCACCAACTCCTGGGATCTGATGCCTCCTGGCCTTCCAGTCGTTTCAGTCTCACAAAAAAAACAAGAGGGGTGGGAAAATCAGATCTATACATGACTTGGGTCTTCATTAGAGGTGAGAGATCCCAAAATTTTCACTCGAAATAGATACGGCCCCTGGTTCTGTTCGCTCACCGTAAAGTTGAACGGTAGCCGCAGGCCTCATTCGAAACAGATGCTCCTGATCTGTTGGGCCAGAACACCCAAAACAGAGCACCCAAAACGGGGGGATCCAGCACTGAGCTCAGATGATGTGCGGCTCCCAGCAAGGGGGGGGAAGAATCAGCAGCGCCCACGGAGGCAGCCGGTAAAATCCAGCTGTGAAGATCCAGGTGTCCTGGAAGATTCAGGGCAGCTGGAAGGCACATCACAGACATACTGAAAAGGCGGAAGACAACCCCAGGTACTGCTAAAGGGGGGGGGGGGGTCTTTACCACTTGGAAAGTGCTCTTTGAAGCAGCCCTTTAACTCCTTCGCACCCAGGACCCCACCCGGGACGGATGGCAGTGACCCTAGGCTCCTTTTTTAAGGCACTGCCTCCTTCTCTCCGAAAGGACAGGAATTTATAGGATGGCACAGGGCTAGAAACCCATTTCAAGGGCTTAAGACGGAGGCCTGTACGAAGCCGGGACCGCCAAGGCCCTCGGGGTCACCCGGGCCAAACTTTTACGAACCCCAAAAAGAATGGGATGCTTGACTTTCCTGTCTCCCTCTCCTGGAAAGTCCCAACTACACAGCCCGGAAACAAATCGCTACCCTCATTAAAATCAGAGTTGATCTTTGCCAGGTGGTCTGCACTGC